GGGTTGTCGGGCGAGGCCTTGGGCTTTGACGGGCAACCTTTTCAACACGTACCTACTGGCGCTGAATGAGCGCATGGTGGCCGAGGACCGGAAGGTTTTGCTGCGGGTCGACAACGCGCCGCCACACAAGCCCGACGACGAGTCTCTGCACACGAACGTCAAGGTCAAGATGCTTCCAAAGAATACGACGTCCCACCTGCAGCCCCAAGATGCTGAAATCATCGCTTCGTGCAAGGCCAAGGTGAAACAACGCCAGCTACAGAACGCACTTGAGCAGATTGATGCTCTGATGGATGGCCGCCAGGACAGATTGTATGAGGTACCTCTGGTGGACGCCATGGCGTGGGCCAAGGATGCATGGCGCTCTGTGTCACGGTCAACCGTTGTGAACTGCTGGAACCGTACTGGCATTATTGACACTGACCTGTCGTCGTTTAGCGAGCACGTGTCAGTCATGCAATTGAATAGCCAGGATGCTCCATAAACTCATATTGTTTTCACTTTATATTTTGGTACTCTCCAAAACTTGTTCATAATCAGGCGTTTCAAAGAGCGAGGGAAATTAGTAGTTTTCAGAAATAGTATGAGCCAATCAAAATCGATTACTATTTTTTTTCACGATTTAGGAAAAGACGTCAAGGACCTCTTTTTCTACTTTTGGTATAATGAGTTGCGTAAAAAATTACTTGGAACCAATGTTTCATTTTGCTAAACATATCCACTTGTAACAGGCCCTTAGAGCATCTCCACCGCATCCCCAAATATTTTTGTCCCCATCCCTAAATTAGAGCCAGTTCACTGTTTTTGGGATGTCTCCAAACAATCTTCCATTTTGGTAGCTGTCCCCTTCCCAATTGACCTGAAGCCGGAAGCGCATGGTATGATGCTCTTTACACCTGCAAGCCTAAACGATGTGCAAGTATTTGATGACCAATAATATGTGACAAGAACAATCAAAATTAATTACTACGTAGTAAGTTGTTACTTTGATCAAGTCATGTTTAACAATAAATAAAAAACGAATTGGGTCGATGGAACAGCCATATGGTTGAATAATGGGTCTCCTCCGACCTCACTTGTTATTTGTATGACATTAATTTAGCGAATCACATAATTCAATTCCTGTTCTAGCCAATCATGTCACTCTTAGTTTAATTTCCAACCAATAAAAATGCGAGGGTTAGGGTAGGGTTAGGTTGGTCACCCAGAATGGTTCATCTATGAATAATTGGTCGGACCTTTGTGGCCATTATGGGTTATGCCCATACAAACATCAAGTTATACTGATAATGGTGAAATAATTCACCAGGGTCCTTCCCACCGTTACAGCGTTACAGTACTGCCATACATAGTACATACTGTATTGCTCCTCCAGGCAGGTCGAGGAACAGTACCCCAGTATTATTCGGACCTTTCATGTTATGGTCACTCAGGACTCCCCCCCCAATTTCAAGCTTGAACAGATGGACCAAGAGCCGCGCAATGCTCACTCCCAGCATGCCGGTGTGTCCGTATGAAATGCGTGAAAACTAATCGTAGCGGTCATTGCAATTGCCCCCACTTCAAATCGAGTGATGGACACAATTTTTCCATACAAATTTCAAGTAGAAAAAAACATCCATTAGATACAATCATTCCTGTATCCTACTCCGATTTCGGTAACGCCTTGATGAAACTTGCACGCACGTCGCGCTCAGTGATCAGATCCCACGCTTTGATGGCTCGTTCAATCATAACAATGCGCTTCTCTTTAGCCGTTGTTGCTGTGCTTGGCGACAAAACCCACAAATCACGCAGGTGTTGCTCCAGTGGCTAACAATGTGAGATATTGTTGGGTGGTAGCGAACACAACTCAGAGCCAACCTCATCTCTCACGATGCATTCGCTCTCCTCGCTAACATGGCTGTCAAAGTTGTCAACCAGAAGGATGGACGGGTTTTCAATGGTCTGGCTCAGCACCTTCAGAAAGGTGCAGCCAGCACTCGCCACCCCCGCCGAACGTCGACGTCGTGTACAACACGAGGTAAGCCCCTGTCGCACCGTACTGCATCGATGCTGCCCTTGCAAGAGCCGCTGATATGTATGTGTCTCATAGGCATTCCTTTACGACCGTACGTCGTCGTATAGAGAGGTTTTACCGCTTGTACGCACATTCGCCGTGCGTTGGACTCCTCTCGACGACGTCGCTTGTGCATATGTCAGAGGAGTCCAATGAACGGCGGATCTTCGGTCTGGTAATCTTTGATGTTTTCGACCTTAGGCAAAATGTGTTCTAACGTAACGTCATTGATCTAACAAGTAAAACATGCATCGGCAAGCCAAGTTGTCACTTCTTAACTCAAAGGTCGTGGGTTCGATCCCCGGCTTCCCCGGATTATTTCCGCAAGGATTTATTCGTGGGAATCCGGATAACAAGGGCTGCAACGAGGACCAAACTTCGAAGAAGATCCTCGGGATATCAGTATGTATTCGAGTCGCGGACCAAAATAGTGCTTTTTACTGCTTTTTTTACTGCTTTTTTTACTCGGTCCTGTATATGGTGTTTTTGTTTCCTACCACTTCCTACCAAAACCCTACCAAGTCCTACCATCCGTATAATTCAGCAGTTATTCGTATCCCCCGAAATACCGTACTTCGTGAAAATAATCGGTATTTGGTTGGGGCACAGGATCCATTGCCCCAACGAAGACAATTTACTTCCCAGGGTGTACGTACAGTAGTCCACCCACAGTTTACAGTCAAAGAGCGCCGATTAATGCACCTCTGTAGAATTCACCAGACTGCCCTGTGTACTGCACTAAATTGGGCATCGCCTAAGGGCATAACGTTATCCATTTTGCGACTGATTTGTTGGACTGTGAATCATGATGGCATCATTTGTAGTACGCAATGTACCAACACTGCACGTCAAGGTCTCATTGCACAGACCTTAGACTAACGTTAGGTTTTACTAACGTTACGTATTAGCTCGAATA